TATATATATACATTGATAATCAAAGTATATATCATACATAAATACTTCTGTAAATATTTAAGATTTATATATTAATGATTGTGCTGTTAATGTTTTGTGGTAATATATAATACAAAATAATAGTAATTTTTTTTCCATATGAAATTTATCAAAAACAAATTTGTTTTAACATCTCAAAGAAACTATAATTTTTCTATTAAATAAATAGATTTTAATAAAGATAAAACAAAAATTTTGTTATGTTCTTCAATATTAATTCCAATCTAATTCATTAGTTTCGATTTACAGTTCACTTCTTACTACACATTTATAATCACATGAAAAAATGTAATTTCTTATATAAAACATTTATATTGTGCGTTTATATATATAATCAATTTTTCTCTCTTTAGACACCTTTGTATTAACTTATTATTATTATTATTAGCGCGCAAAATTCATGACATCTTATGTTAGCATTTCTGTAAAATTGAGGACCAGGAGCGCTAAAAGTAGAGACTGTATTATGCGAAATGTTATTATATTCTAGAAATATGTTAGATATACGACACATATGAGACAATTTAATTCAAAATATATAAGTACATATAGTTTTATTAAGCGCAGCATTTTTATCATGTTCATGTGTGTGTATGTAATTCTTCCCTTCTTTCCAAAATACTAAACTATAGGCATATTATAATATGTTTGATATATTTTTTGAACTTAAAATGTTACAAATTCCAAAAAACAATTACCGATTTAAAAAGTAAATATTAGCAAGCTTATTTTAAAACAATTACAATTGCAGAAATGATGCAATGACTTGTCAAATGTAGTAAGAACAAGTTTAACTTGATATAAATGTCTGAAGCCAAAAAAAGATTGCATATTATATTATTATATATTTAGATTACTTGAGATATATTACAAAATATTAATATTCTTGAATTTCAAAGAATCTATGATTGATGCATGCTATATAGTAAATTCATTACTTTTGTACGAGAAATTTTTGAATAAATTTTTAGAAAGTTAGAAATGTTTTATAAAAATAATTTTGAACAAATTTGCTTTATTCCTTCCTTTGACAACATTTGGAAATTTTAAGAAATAAATTTTCATAGCAATATGTTTCAATATATATCTCTATTTGCGAGAAAAATTTTGAATTATGCTAACCATTTTAAAATAATAAGTCATGAAACATATTTATCTACATTATATATCGTTATATCTTTCCACAAATGCCTTACCTGTAAATTAAAATAAAAGATAATTTAACACTCACCAACACACGATGCGCAGCGGCGGAATTGCGACACTTGATCTATAAAAAACCAAATATATATAAATAATATAAATATTTTATTACAAATAATATTTCACACAAGTATATATTTATTTCTTATAATAATCAAAAATATTGAATATGCGTAATACATATATTTTATACATAATACAAAAAGAATGCAATATGAGAACCTTGGGAAAATAAATGATTAATATGTAAGTTTTACACTCACCCCCACGGTTGCTCCGCCGTTACCTCTGATGCCTTTCAAATCGTCCGTTGCTGCTTCTTCACAACGTTTATATAATCACTCGCGATTAATTACGATCGCGCACATAAATGACTGAAATATGATTTCGTTGCGCTTTACACGGCACTCCCGAAGTTAATCAAACACGCACTTTGTTACTTATATTGCAAGGAAGAATAATACGACAAAAATACTACCGCGAGAAACTACAATTACCGTTACCTTCCGCGTCTTGCAAACGATAGAGGGAATATGAAAATTGCGCGCCCAACTTCATGCAGACGCCACCTGCCGCGATGACGCTACATCTGTTTCCATCTTCGTCACAATATACGCTTGTCTGTTTCTATCTTCGTCACACTATATGCTTGCGCATAGTTATTTTAGAGCAATTACAATTTCGTATTATAATATAAAAGAATGAGTATATAAATTAAAATTATAGATAAATATGCGAATTATATCCAAAAATATGATTGTTAGTATATTTATAATGGATTTTGGTCGAGTAAATTTCTCGCGAAATAGGTGTCTTCGCCAAATTACCGATGCACGAACGACGAATTTATATACCGATTTATATACGAATTATATGACTGACAAATTCTAAAATATGGAGTTAATTACTACCGTATTTATACCAACGCGTAAAGACGCCTCTCGGAATTTATTGTGTAACCGCGACTTTTTGTTAGTGACCAAACGAGATGAATAGAATCGGCACTTTTATTTTGAGACCATGCGACATGATGTAATTAATAAATTTAATGGCTAATTATATATATACATAAAAATTACGATAAACACTATGTGATGTATAAAATGATTAAAATTCGATATCGTACGCGCAAACATTTCGAACGTACCTCGCAAAATGCATGTATATGCATATAAAATATAAACAGCCGATGTATCACGATACGTGAAAATGTACAACAGTAGGTATCGCGTAAAGTTGACCGCAGCAGGTGACCACATACGAAGTTAATCGCGCAATTTTCAAATTCACTCTGCCGTTCAAAACAACGTATGGAATGAGTATAAAATTTGTTACTTTTATTATTTTTATTTATTCTTTATTTGCGTATGTAATCATTTACCTTCGCCAGGATCGGATGATGCTATTTCGCATCATTGCAAGTAATATTACGCACAAACAATATTTATGTTTATTTCAACGAAAAAATATTTAAAATATTAACATTAACTTTTTGTTACTTGAATATAACGATTAATACCGCTTGATTGAGAGCGTTTTGAAATATATTGTTACTTGAATTTTACTTTAATAAATATGTTCCGATGTTATTGATGTTGTGATTTGTTTTATGTATATGAGTGTAATTTATTTATTAAAATTGTAAACACAATTGTAAAAAAAACAAGAAAATAACACTTATAATTTAGTATAATTTTAATAAGGCAATGATGTGCGCATTTATTTAATAAAAGAATAGTCTTTACGAGAAAGAGAAAGAATAGATTTTAGGACTATTATAGTACTAAATTGTACTATTTCTGATATTAAAAAACAGGATTATATAGCCCTTTCTTCTTCTTTCCATCCCTGGCTATGTGCGCTCTTTAGAGAAGTTTTTTTTATGATGATATGCAAATATCATTTAAATTTATTATTTAATTCAGTCATAGATATCATAGAGAAAGAAAATATTTTCTTTAATGTTAAGTTTTTTTTAAATTAAGCTTTTTCAAAGATACTTGGGATAAACACGTAATTGCGATTATTTATTACACGTACACCACATTTACACGTATATCATAATTTGAGTGCTTATTAACTAAGATCGCTTGATTGAGAGCGTTTTGAAATATATTGTTACTTGAATTTTACTTTAATATATATATAAATATGTTCCGATGTTATTGATATTGTAATTTGTTTTATGTATATGAGTGTAATTTATTTATTAAAATTGTAAACACAATTGTAAAAAAAACAAGAAAATAACACTTATAATTTAGTATAATTTTAATAAGGCAATGATGTGCGCATTTATTTAATAAAAGAATAGTCTTTACGAGAAAGAGAAAGAATAGATTTTAGGACTATTATAGTACTAAATTGTACTATTTCTGATATTAAAAAACAGGATTATATAGCCCTTTCTTCTTCTTTCCATCCCTGGCTATGTGCGCTCTTTAGAGAAGTTTTTTTTATGATGATATGCAAATATCATTTAAATTTATTATTTAATTCAGTCATAGATATCATAGAGAAAGAAAATATTTTCTTTAATGTTAAGTTTTTTTTAAATTAAGCTTTTTCAAAGATACTTGGGATAAACACGTAATTGCGATTATTTATTACACGTACACCACATTTACACGTATATCATAATTTGAGTGCTTATTAACTAAGATAACGTAAGAACAGACTTAAAATGTCAGCCAATCTCTATTGATATTAGATTAGATATCCTTATTAAGATATATTAGACCATTTAAACATATTAGTTTAGTATAACAGAAAATGGGAATTAGTCGAGAGATATAAGAAACGTAAGAGAAAGAGAGAGACAGAGAGAGTAAAATATTTAATAATATCTAAATAACATAAATATTTAAATAATGGAAACAAGATAAGAAAAGAGATAAAGCGAAAGAGAGTGGGAAATGTTTATTATCTTATCAGGGGGGGGGGGTTCCAAGGCATTTTAGGTCATGTCTATGATCATGTAAAGTCAGTCAGAAAGTTTACATTGACACTTGAACCTCGCATTTTGCGCACGTCACGTATTCGCTTATAATTATAATTTCTGTACAGATCTGGCTTAGATAGCATTCGCGATATCGACATTCTAACGACGGTAGTGAACATACATGTTTATCAAGATATTATTGACATTAATGACAACGTACGGAGATATAAGGGGCAAGTAATATCTGAACAGAGATAGTGTTCCGCCAGACTGGCCCCGTGATTATTTTTGTAAAGAGAATTAAAGTGTGATTTAAGTGGAATTCGCAAATTATCATACACACAATGCGGTAAGAGAAATATTTTATTTGAAGAATTCGGAAATATATATAAGATAGAGAAATTTGACTTTTGAAGAATAAAGGTTAACATATTTCTTACGTTGACATGAGATTTATAAGTTATGATAAATAATAGAAACACATTTTTCTGCTATAAGAATTTTTTTGTACATATTTTATTTATTGTTTTGCATAAAACATGCATTGTAATAATAGTTTGTTGTATCGATCCAACAAAATTTCTTTTATCATGACATAGCACTTTTATTTTAATATCGGCTTTGTCTCTACAATATGAGAAAACTTAAAAAAACGAAATTCGATTTTTATAGATTGTGGATATTGTTATCTGCGCTTTTATTAGTCGCAATATTTGCGTCAGAAGCTTTTGCGAAACAATCAAGCAAAGATGTGGGATCTAAAGGTAATGATGAGAAGCAACAAAAAGTCAATGTAGAATATAATACAAGGTGAGCACTTGATGAATAGAAAACAAAAAAAGATATCTATCTATATTTTTGCGTTTAGCCTCTTTATTTTATGTATTGCATCAGACTAAAAAAATTTAGAATTAAAAAAAAGATTCTATTTAGATCTAAATTAATAAATAAAAATATAAATTATTATCTTCAAATATATTTTTCTATAATATATTTTTCATTAATATTATTCATTGATTGACCCTATGTTATACATGATTGACTTTTTTTTTAGAAATAAACATCAATCGAAAAGAAAAGGCAAACATAATAAAGAAGAAAAACCGAAAAAGAGCAACTCGTTGGAACAAAATGTCGAAACTCCTTCCGAAAAATATTCAGAAGCAAAGAATTCTGATGAATTAGAGCAGAAATCAAAGAACAAACGAAGCAAACGTGAGAAAAATATTAAAGTGATAAGCAAAGAAGTAAATACAAATTCCGAAGATAAACCGAAATATTCGAAAGATAAGACAAAAACGGAAACAAACAAACAAAATAAGAAAGATAAGAACGTCAAAGAACAATCGAAAGAATCTAAGAAGCATTCTGAAACTTCGCAGAATTCTGAGATTCGCCAAAAATCGGAGAAAAGCTTGAAGGAAGGAAAGAACAAGAGAAAATCGAAAAATATTGAAAAAGTAAAACACATTAAAGAAAGTGTTGAGGTTCAAAACAAGAGAGTAAAGCGTTCTAAATCGGAATATTCTGAAAACGCTCAGGATGTTGTTGATAAACAAAGTACGAACACAAAGTATGATAGAAAAAAGAAGCAGGAAGTACCTAGAAAGACGGAATCCGAAACAACCGAGGAAGAATTAATCGAAACTGATTTGTTATCTGAAGATTTCGAGCAGGAAAGCAATATACATAAGAACAAGAAGGAGAAGCAGAAGGCTCAGAAAACATCGAAGGAAAGTAAGAAAAAGCGGAAGACAGAGCAAGAGAAAGAGGAAACCGAAGAGGAACAAGCCTCAAATTCCATCGAAGATGAAACTGTAAATAAAATCGAAAATGTAAAAGAAAAGGAAACGATAAAACAAAGCGAGACAGAAAACGAAGAAAATTGTCCAGTTCAGAACGACAAAAAGTGTACAGGATTGGAACAATAATATTGTAATATTTTGATATAACATTTAAAAATATTAAAATATCGAATAATGGAGAACAGTCATAAACTGTTTATAATTTTATATTATGTTATTTATGTTATTTTTATCGTATTATTAATTTGATCGTTTCAAATGATATCGCGCGAAATATCAAGCGATATTATTTATTTTGTTTATTTACAGTTAATTATACATCATAAATTTGAAAAGAAACATCTCTCTGCCATTACATTTTTAATTTATAAACATTACTTTTTACAGTCTCTTGATATTCCTTTTACCAGCCGTCAATTATGTCAATGGGATGAACTGAAAATATTATTTCATAATTATTTATATTATATTATATGGATTATATATATGATAATATTATACTTACGAGTAGATTGTGCCATAAACGTAATAACCCATCCCGTTCCAATATTGTTCACTGTCGAAGAATATTTAACGAGAATTCGATCAGTATCAATCTCCAATCTCGCTGGATCATCCTATGCAAAAAATAATATTATATACATATTCTTAATTGTGTGTGTGTGTATGTTACAGAAAAGATTTTGAAAACTCCAAAATATATATAAAGAAATATGATATAAAGAAAAATTAAAAGTTTAAAATATTTTTTACAGAATTTTTACAGAAAATTTTTTACTAGCATTTCTCTAAATAATCAGTTTTATCAATTGCACAATTGGTCAATGCAGTTTTCGAAAATGTATTATTTTACGGAATAACTTACCCCACCGCAAAAAGTGCTGCGTAAAAGTTCTCCGCTAGGAAGAACATCGTAAATTTTGACATTATTATTGCCGCAGTTTTTCTTCGTGCCGATGTCGAAGATGAGAAACTGAAGAATGATCCTGAAGCCCCGCGGCACGCTTACATCCCAAGTGCATACGGTATTGTTGCGATATATATTGGGATACAAGGGCGAGGTAAATCTGCCGCCGTAATTGAATATGCGACCGCCGCAACCTCGACCTGCGCAATTTCGTTTTTGAAACATCATATATACATCGTTTTAATGCACGCGACGTTTGAAACGACATCGTATAATCGGATTCTCTCGAGCGAAAATAAACCGCAACATTTCACGAGCGCGTATCTCGGTATTGCTGCAACCTCGTAAATCATCGCATTGTAATTTCTCCGCATCTGGTAGCACACATTAATCGGATACGATGGAGGAGAGGGAAAGGAGTGGGACACAGAGAGATTTGTCCCTCCCTACGTGCGTCATACCTGCATCCGTAGTCGTGTAAGTGATGTCATAACTTTGATAAGTGTTGAAGATGTTCTCAGTCCAGGAATGCAGAGTGAGTTTATTACCGGTGCTGAAAATTGGACTTGGTGTTGATGTGCTACATAACGTCGTTAGAAGCGGTCCGCTGGAGTTACCATCATGAACCTATGAGATGAAAAAATTTACTTGAAAATTAGACATGCATCATAAGGACAAATTTTGGATTTTTTCGTTAAAAATAAATTAACATCGTATATATAATCCTTGATTTCTCATATTTCTCAGATTTCTCATAATTATTCTAGCATAAGAAAAGTAAAGATGACGTATATACCTGCACTGCGTTCCGCGTGCAATGCTCTGAATCGTAAACGCTAAATTGATTGAAATACAAAGAAACGGTGTAATTTTCCGGAGCGGTGATCGTGATCCAGCAATTCGTGAATCCGCGATGAAAGATACGTCCTTGTTCACTCGTGTAATTTCGATCGCAATTCGCTGTGCTATATTCCAGCTTAAAACCTTTATGGTTATTCGATATCGATTTAAAAGTTACTTGCATGCTGTCGCTGTAACTGTGAGAGAAAAATTGATATGTTTGAAATAATTCTGATTTTAACCATATAATGATTTAGAGTAGAATAAATTGAAATACCTGTAATAATCGTGTGGCAATTCGCTACCACAATATTTGTACGAGGAGTAAGGTAGATGGCTGCCCTAAAACATAAAATAAGTATAAGTATAAAGTTTAAATAAAATATAAAATAAGATAAAGAACAATTGTATATAAAATGTAAATTAGCTGTTCTAGTAAACAAGATACATTTTATTGATAAGGGAAAGAACTTACCATCTCGACGGTTATTGGATGTTGGTTTACGCCACTATAAATGAAATTTGTCCCGAAGCCTTCGTTTACGTATTTCTAATAATTAAAAAAACAATAATCTTACATATATATATATTAGAGAAAAAATCACATTTTTCTCTCTAAAATACATGTTGTGTCAGCAAATCATAAAGATTAAGAGCGCTTATTCTTTATTAAGTACTTACCCCATCCTCACTAATTTCTAGATACTCGTTCTCGCACTTGTTAGACTCTGCCATATCGAAATCTATAAATCGAATTCGCAGTCTATCACTGTACTTATCAGGATGCCGTAAAATCCAGTGACATTGTATTCCAGTTGTATGCATATCTGGATAATTCGGAGAAGTGAGTATTTGCGCTGTTTCGTTTACTACTCTAGTATTTAGGCCACACAATGCTGTAATATAAGAAAAGTATCATCAAAATAACGCTAATCAAAGAAAAAACAAATTTGTAATCGAGAATACAATGAATACAGGAATTCTTAGTTAATTGCAATATGTTTTCAAGTCAACAGAAATAACAAAAACTCTGATAGAATAAAATGATAAAGATATCGAAGTATTAAACCATCTACCATAAAAAAAATTACACATTCAAATCTATTTTATTGTATACAATAATATGTGTAATAGTGAATTGTCGAAATAGTAAATACGAAATTTCTTACAATCAACTATATCTAAGACGGCCGTTGCACCTGCACCTTCAGTAGTGCCGTCACTATAAAATCTAATCCACAGCGTATTTGAAGTAGATATTATAGGAAGTGGTGGTACATTTCCACAAAATTGACCTAAAATTCTGGCGTACGATCCAGCTCCATCTCGAAACTGAAAATAATAAAATGCACGATATTTCCTGTAGTATAATAAATTAAGACAAACATATCAAAATTTTGTCAGATTAATGTATTTTTCCTTTGCGATTTGTCTTCTTTTTTCCATTGCTAATTTTAATTTTCTAATCGATATTATGTGTTAGAAAATAGCAAGAAACTGTTTATTTCAATTGTTTTGTACTATTTTATTATCTATCATGCGATATTGCATTAATATACACTGCTACAATGCAATGTTATCGGTTTATTTCTTTCAGAAATATTTATCACACGCGAGTGCAAACTTACCTCGAGATAATCACCGTTGCATTTATCAGTTTGATTGATGAAAGTATAGTTACTAAAGTTAGTTTTTATAGATAGTTTATTTCTTTCAGAAATATTTATCACACGCGAGTGCAAACTTACCTCGAGATAATCACCGTTGCATTTATCAGTTTGATTGATGAAAGTATAGTTACTAAAGTTAGTTGAATTTCTTATATCCATACTATTGATAGTAAATCTAATATTTTTGTCTGGCGATGTAACCACAGTCCAATGACACTCTTCAAATGATTGATAAGTTGCCGCTTGCTGAGTTTTAAACGATTTAGATTGAATCGAAGTCATATTGATAGATCCTCCGCAACCATCGGCTGGACTTGTTGTAAACAGCACCTAAAAAATTGTCTATTGTTATTACACATTATTATCCAATGTTAGCAAAATAGATAACGGGAGAGCCGGATAATGATCGTAATAAGAAATATACTTGTCATTAGTATATTATAGCGATACTTGTCATTATCAATTTTGATAGATCTTTTTTAATAATATAATTAAGTGACATTAAGTAAGATAAACAGTACTTTGGCCGTGAAACCCGCGAAATGCCTCGTGTTGTCAGAGTTAAAATTGACGACCATAGAATTGGATTCGGATTTAAATGTTGGTAAATGTTCGGTCAAGTTTCCGCAAATCAGAGCTATCCGTTTATCAAATTTAACCAAATCACCTTCGTAAACGGCGACATTGTCGTAGTAGCAGCTGCAAAAATTCACGATAATAATTGATAAGGTTGTATAATACATATAAATAAATATGGATCCGTTAAGAGCTTACTTTGTGCTGAATTCGAGGATGAACTTTTCGAATCGTATAAGTACGCTCTTTTCTTGCGGCGCTTTAATGATCCAAGTGCAATTCATACGTCCGAAATATTCTTCTCCGTGCATCAAAGGCTTGAGTTCGGTTGGATGTCTAATTATACCACCGCATTCTGTTAATTACATTGATTTTGTTATTTTTTAAATCTTTCTGTAATTATCTTATTAATTCTCTTATCACAAAATTATGTTATATGTTAACCGCGTTAATTGTATTCTCTAGCAATTATAGATTATTGTTTAGAATATGATCCTCGAAATCATCTATCTTTATAATCTATATATGAAAACTCATGAGAAACTTACTGTTGAGGAAATATTTAAATTGGAAACCATTTCGCTGACCATATTTATCCGTCATGAAGATAATCTGCATAGATGACATAGATTTCATAAGTGGCGGTTTCTTGTTGCCGCAATAAATCTCCACACTTTCCGATTCTATCCTATACACATTTTCCGTTATGACCGTGACATTGTCAAAGCGACAATCACCGTGACCTGCCAAAATTAATTTTACTTTAATTTTGCATATTTTCTTGTTCCTTTTCACTTTAGAGAACTTTATTCATATCTCATACATTATAGCTTCATAAAAGGCTTACTACATAAGCGCTATATTATGCTTGCAGTAGCACATAATGCACAGAGTTTCATCACAGGTTGAGAGGAGGAGGGATTTACTCACCGCGCTCGAGTTGAAAGTCAGTGAACTGAACGATAATGTCCTCGTCTGGCGCGACGATGGTGTAATTGCAGAACGCGTTCGGTGGATAGAAGTTTGGATACGAGGGCGATTGGATGATGTTAATTCTCTCGGTCGCTTTGAAAATACCGCCGCAATTCTCGTTCCAGACAGCGCGGAAACCGTCCGATTGTACTGCCTCGTTTGAATGAAAGATCACCTTCATGCGGTTTGACGTCGAGTTGAAGGGCGTAGGTCTGTTTCTGCCGCAAACCTTGCCGAGACTTTTCCATTCACCATTGTTATTATCTCCGTCTGCTATGATCCAATCAAATATCTGCATAACATAGTGTTATCGTCAATAATTTTTAATACACAAAGTTTCTAATACATTATTACGAAAATATATTATTTTAACAGCGAGATTATAAATAAAATAATGATAATAAATATTTAACATTTATCATACATATGTAATATAAAAATATGATAAATGTAATATGATAAAAATGTCATAATTGTGTAAAATAATTTAATAATGAAGATATAATAGATAGTTTAAAATGATAGTTAGACCTGCACATAATCTTTCTCGCAATTAGAACTAGTCTCCAGACTGAAACGATCGACAAAAGTTAAGCCTATGGAATATCCATTGTCACCAATTATTTCCCACGTACACTCGCCGTTGTTTGGATATTGTTTGGGAAATCTACAATATTTTAAAATTATTATTAAGCTATCTTTTTTTCAAAGCTATATTTTGTTATCAGTAAGTAATTACTCGGGCGATGTAATTTCGCGACTGCGACCGCGTAATGATCCACCACAGCCTATGTTGACAGGTTCCACATTAATCTCGAAATCGCTTTGATTCTCCGACGCGTAATATTCTATCCACAACTGATTCGATATGCTACTTATATTATATTTCTGAAGTTGGCTCGTAGCGTGCAAGCAGTGCTTTGCGACTTGCGGTGACGTTGCTCCGCCATTTCTAATTATAAACGAATGTAGATTAAATCGAGGATTAATCGAAAATAAAGAATTTGATAAAACAGCCTACTTGATAATGAGGTAGTTCTTGTCACAATTATTTTCAAGTTCAAGTTTAGTAAAAGTGAGTTGGATTGTTTCACCATCGGGATAATTTATATGCCAAACACAGTTTATCGGATAAGAAATATCCTTTGGCGGTCTGATGGTGTGAGTTGGACCACCCAAAATACCACCACACACTTGCCATTGATATTGCAGATTAAAATTTGCATGTTGTCCATAAGTGCCATTCATTATCTAAAAGTTAATAGATATAAAAATTCTTTTTTCTGCATTTAATATTAAACGTGAATAACCTCAGTTTACGTTTAAAACTTTTAAGACTTCTATTTATAAATAATAAAATAAATATTAATGACATATTACCGTTAACATATTGGCCATTTTCGGGCTTCTTAAATATTTTGGTTCCGTTAGATTCCCACATAACATTCCAACATCTGTAATATTTAGTGATTACATTTTGTACATTTATAATGCACATTTATAATTGGTTGACTTTTATGTACTTTTTTTGATAATTGCTATCAAAAAATATAGAGAAAGAGAGAGAAAAAAAACTGAGTGAGATTGAGAAATTGAATAGTATCTCTTGTTTTACCCTGAAGTTCGATGAATTGATTATAAATGCAATTTCTTCTAATAATATTTGCATGATTGTCAGATCTGCCTAAATAGCCGGTGACTTTTATTGTCAGTGTCATGCGATTGTCATAGATAGGACCGATCATATTTTCGGGTGGTTCCAATGTCCAGTAGCAGACATACGAAGTTTGATTAAACGGCAGATTTGTAGGACCCGTTATATTCCCTTCAAGTTGTCTCAGATTTCCACCACAAGCTACGGATAATGCGTTATCAAAAAGAAATTAATAGATTGTATATGTTTTTCCTTATATTTTTTATAGTAGTTATACGAAAATCAAATATAATTGAAAAATATATTTCTTTTTACATTGCGTTATTATAATGCATGATGTATAAATTATAGTCAATAATGGCTTTTGAAACTTACGAGCTGGAGCTTGAGATGTATACCGAAGTTTAAAACCTCGGTGCCCGGCGGAGGACCAATAGTTGATAATCATAGTATTACTGGAGCTCATAATCTCTTCTGTATTAGCGCTTTGTCCTAACATTTTGATCTTTGATTTAAAGGTGAAATCATTATAGAACTGCAAAGAGAAAAAAATTATAATATATATTCTTTCCCTTGAAATAATATTCCTTATATTTTATTGCCATATGTTACGTATTGCCATCATTTACCGAAAGTGCATAACCCACTTGTGCAGGTCCAGGTTCGTCAACGACGTCTATATCCAAAACATTTACCACCACTTGATAACCCACCGGTAATTTAATTCGCCAATTACAATGTCTGCAATATGTCATCAATGTTTTGTGTAAGCAAAACTTGTGTTCAATAATATTTTAATTTTCAACTAATCATTTATTTTTTTTATTTATTTTAATAAGTATTTATAAAGTTATTCATCAATATGATTTTATAATTTTTTGTACAACAAATGTATTCTTAATTTTTTATTGAACAGATGTTTGACGTGTAAAATATTCTGATAGTTTAACGAATTTAAGTCCGTTATTTTTAAATAATTTACCTGGCTCGTGTGCGTGGATTAGGATATCCGATTGACTTAATTATTCCACTCATTGCGGTTAATAAACCACCGCATGCTACAAGCAAATATAATACGACAATATGATACAACATAAAATTCGAGATTGTGCGGATAACATATCGAATAAAGTTTATAATTGTGCAATTGAGAAAATGTAATTTCTTAATAAAGTTTGTTTTACGGTTACTAACTTTCTTGACTAGCGGTAAAGTTTAGACTGAACCCTCTGTAACTGATGTACTCCCTATTATCGCTCTGGAAGTACACGTATGCTTCGTTTGTCGATGTCTCAATCACATCCGGTTTTTGAAGACCACAATAAGTTCCAATTTCTGAGACTGTAAAAAAATATTGTCTTAAACCAATCACCGTCACGATAATTGATAAAAGTAAATCTAGTCTACATATTATGTAATCATTTGCGTCATCACTTACTCGTATTATTTTCTGCAAGTTTTTCTTTAATTGTCACGTGATCGGTCCAAAGGCAGTGGCGTAAACCAGGAAGATATATGTCGCGGAATTCTAATTTCATGGTATGATCTATCGGCCCTATTATCAACCAGTTGCAAGTCTGATTTACAGGATAGGAATGCGGATAATTCGGAGACGTGATAACGCCACTGGTACCGCGGAAAATTCCACCACAGACCTCTAAAAATAGTAAAAAAATTACGTACATATATTATCAGATTTAGCGTAAATGCATACTTAATTCCATAGAAGATTCTTTCAAAGCTATTGTGTTTTGACATTATTTAAAAAATTTATTAAGTACATTGCTTTAAAAGCGGTAAAGCGCATTTACCTCCTGATGTAATTTTAGCTTTAAAGCCATTTTTAGGTTCTGGCAAATCCGTATAAAAGTGAATATATATCATGTTGCCGGTGGTACTCATACTACTGGGTGGTACGTCCTTGCAATATCTTCCCATGAACCTTGAACCACCAGTTCCGCCATCCCTTACTTCAACATATTCTCTCTCACAGCTAAAAAAATATTAATATGATAGAAACATCATCTTTACAGTGAAGATCTTTAATTAAGAAATTCGTTTTATTTTTCTCCAATATAATCTTATATCTCACTTTTCGGAATAACTTAAATCAAATCTCTCCAAGAAATGGATAGAAAGCCTTTCACCAGCTGGAGCAATAGCTGTCCAAGTACATTCCGCGAAAGTTGGAGGAATGTTGGGATAGTTGGGGGATGATATTTCCCATTCTTTCTGTTTATTTGTGAAAACAAATTCACCGCCACAGTTCATACTTACTTCTCTAAAATATAGAAAGACAAAATGATATTAATGTAGAACTAAAATAAACGTTTTATATATTATAAATATTTTATAGAGAAATATACATATAAATATACACGTATAATTGTATTATGCGTGCGTATGTGTACTATCAATATAGAGAAACATGTAAAAATTACCTGTAAGTGAGTTTAAAACGATATAGATAACCTGTGCCAGTAAATTTAACATAAAAACGATTTCCAGTGGTTTCTAATTCCGGTGGTGCTATATTGCCACAATATTTTCCATTGCCTAACAGAGGCGAAATCATTCCATCTCCATTTTTCAGCTAAAGAATATATAGATTATTTTTAAACATTAAATTTGCTTTCATATAAATTGATTTTTGTTTGCAAATACATATTAATTAATTAATTTTGCAAAATATTATACATAAAACGTTAATATTTTGTTTGTGATTTTATTCACACTAAAGATGGATAAAAAATATAATGTGTTTACTAACCAGTAAATAATTATCACCGCACGAATGATCAGGTGTTTCTTGTATCGATATATCGGTAATTTGAACTTTAATTGTTCTACCGGGTTTCACCGTCACGAGCCATTCGCAATTGAAACGCCATGTGCGAATTGCTCTCGTGAAAGTGGAATTGTCATACTCAATCACGCCATTGGGACCGGTCAAGTTACCTCCGCAATCTAAACATTAATGTCAGAACATTTTTTATATAAATATTTTATTGCAATGAAAAGCTAATCTTGTTAAAAGATAAAAATAAGGTATTCAAGACCTCGATACACATATGCGTTGAAGCCGGTCTTATTAATAAACGCATCTGAATCAAATTTCACTGTCATTATATTGGTCCCTTTGATATGAACCCAGGTGGAGTTTGCTAAGCATAATCTACTTAGCAGATTAGCATTACTCGTCGATGTCAATGCGTATCCAGAATAAACGGAAACCGAATCCGCTATACAATCGCTACTTTCTTCTAAATTCATGGACATTATCCTCAACTTCAAATGTGTCCCGGGTGGCGATGTGAAAACCCAGTTGCAATGCAGATCGGCAGCATAACCTGTTGGCCAGCCAGGAGAGCTGAAGGTATATGTGTTGTTGCGCTCACCCATTAGAGCTATTTCTTTGTTACATTCTGACACTGTTGAAAAATAAAATTAATTGAATTTGCTATTAATATATATGTTTACGTTATATATATATTTATGATAAAAACAATTATATATATATACAGCAAACTTACATTTAATCTCTTTATTATCTTGAGAAATATCTCTTGGTATTTGAAGCCATGTGAGATCGAACCAATTTCCCTGTCTAAGAAACTCAGTTGTCATCTTGATGTAAACTACATTACTGGATGACTGTACTGGATCTGGTAAAGTATAGCCGCATACTTCTAATAAACTTATTGCTTCACTATCATACCCATCATATATCTAACCAAAAATCGATAAAACTGTTTAATATATAATTTAAATTACACATAAACCTTCCAATTTCATTAATCGTAAAAGACCGAAAAATTAGAAGAGAACATTAATATATAAATATATATTTACTGATACATATTAAATTAATATTTTATTGTATAAAATATTTATTTATATATATCAAATATATTCGCATTTATCTTTCACAATACATGCTTTCTATTTTAAGCTTTATCGCGCTCGATGATGATACTTACTTTAACGTTAGAGACGCATAATTCACTTTTTTCTATTTGCAAATCTGTGAATTCAATGCGTATGATCGAATTCATTTCGACGGTGATACGCCATGAAAACGTAGCTGTACGCCTATAAGGCATCGGATACAATGGCGAGGTAATGCGTCCCGTAGGTCCCTCGAGTTCGTTCCCTCCGATAATATTATACTCGCCTACGAAACCTTTGGCGGTGCCTGAATCGTCGCTCTTAAACTTAATCCATAATCTGTTGGAGGATGTAATTGCCGCGACATCTTTGCCGCAGGAAATGCTAATAAGCTTTCCAATTCCGTTGTCCTCCCGTATCTCGAGGTAATCCAAATCGCAATTTTCGCTCGATTCGATATCAAACTCGGAGAATGAGAGAGTGATCTTATTACCGGGGGATATATTCAGCATCCAAATGCATTCTGCGTTCAATGGATAGCTGTTCGGATAACCCGGCGAAGTAATCATGCCTTGTTCAGAAGTGTAGTTTCCACCACATGCTGAAAGATATAAACGAGATTATAAAAGCGTCATCCAACCTTGTTTGTAAATCTTTTATACATCATATCGTTATATACTATATTATTGACACACCTGTATTCAGGACGGAATAGCTGGCGACAAAGTGGCCGAAGAACTCGTAACGTACAAATAAGTGCAACGTGAGCGAGCTTCCGGTACTCGTAATTGGCGGCGGCGTGACATTGTTGCACCATTTTCCTAAAAGCGGCCCGTCTATGCTGTCACCCTCGAATATCTGGATATAGTCCCAAAAACAGGGACTTAGAGAGGGTTCCCATTCGGTACGTCCAATCGGATCGATCTCCATATGTGTGAAGGTAACAGTCACGTGATCGGCTACAACGAAAAATGATATTCGGAAAATAATTGGTTGAAATTTAAGAAGAAATACATGTACCCATACAAATATGTAAGATAAAAGTTGAATTATATTCACCTGGATTTTCAGCTATCAATGTCCACGTACAATTAGTGTCGTCTTGTATATTGGTATATCCACTCGAGGGTGTAAGAAAACCGTGATCTTTCACGATTATGCGAGCACCGCAAGCTCTAACATACTGAGCTTTGAAACCTTTGGCTGTAATCATATTATCGGTTCGCATGGCTACTAACATCTGGTTACTAGTCGAAATGTAGGGCGGTGGCAGTCGATTGTTACAATGCGTTCCCAATAAGAGATCATCCGTTGTTGGTCCGTCGAAAATCTAGGAAAATACAAAATACAAGAGCGTTAATATTTATTATTTGAATATAATAGCTCTTTGATCGCTGGCTATTATATAACTTATAATTTTTCAAATTTTTCTGACACTAAAGAGAGTACAATCGAAAATTGAAACGTTTGCGCTTTATATTTTATAATTTTAATTCTATTTATGATTTCTATAATTCAGATTTTGTTAATTTATATGTAGTGCTTTAGTTTTTTAATTTATTAAATATATCGCGTGGTTTTTGTTTTTTAGATCTAATTATATGTTACTAACATTAACTGCTTCTTTTGCCCTTCCTAATTTTTGTTTATTATTAGATCTAAATGAGAACACACTCGGAACTTTACAATGCATTTTTATAATTTATTTTAAACATTATAACACATACCTTAACGTAATCATCAGTGCAATTTCTACTGTACTCCATATCAAAGTCTAGGAATGTGAGATTTACAACGTGATTGGTGTCGACTTCCAGCAGCCACTCGCAATTCTGATCAAGCGGATAATTTTGCGGATAATTAGCCGAATGAATAATACCCGAGTCTGTTGTAAATTTACCGCCACACTCGATAGGAACGCTTCTATAGCTTGCGTTGAATCCTCGACCAGCGTAAGAAACATCCGACTGAAATTTTACGAACATTCTATTTCCAGGACTAGTGTAGATCACTGGTTTTTCTGAATAACAAAGCTCGGCCAATTTCGGCGCCTCCGCGTCGTTACCACCGTAAATTTGGATTTTATCGAAGTAACAGCCTTTCTGTTTTTCAGTGTTCACCTGTAAAAGAAAAGTTTTAATTTTCAAAGCATTTACAGTTCAACTTGTTAAGACCATTTTAGTATAAATTTGCAAAATTGATATATCTTTAGATAAACTCACTTCGTGAAAAGTGAGTTCAATGCTGTGCATATAATCCACTTCAATCTGCCATTCGCAAACGATATTCGCCGGATAAGCAGACGGGTACCCGGGTGATGTAAATGCATCGTACGGTTTATTTAAATATCCACCGCACCCGTGCACCGTCCATTCGAGTCGAAAGCCATCAAAAGCAATAAAGGAGTCCGTCATAAATGTTATAAATACTTGATGCTGTGTCGAATTAATTTTTGCTGGAAGCTCCGCTCCACAGAATCGACCTAACTCGGTGTTGGGATTGTCTTTATCGCCTTCCATAATTAGCAGATAATCATATGTGCAAGCGTCCAGTATGCCTCTTTCGAGATCAAAGTGCGAAAAAGTTAGATTAATCGTGTTGCCAATTGGAGCCTCAATTGTCCAACTGCAGTTTGTTGAGTGCTCATATTCGTTGGGAAAATTCGGTGATTCTATCACACCGTAGTAGCCGTGTAGTTTATTGTGACATTCTATATCGTAAAAATAATGTTTTATTATAAGTAACATAATTATAGTTAAAATAAAAATTAATAAAAAAATTGATTCAAGTTTTTATATCAATTAAAATGTTATACTCTAAAATTGACAATATAGAATATCCTTATAATCAAAAATTTCTTTAGCGAAGCGCAAGAGATATTTTTTTACATATTGCTGAATTATAATTACGTAGCATCAACATGTGTAATAACATGCATACTTACGCGTTTCGTATTTCAGATGGAAACCGCGGGAGGGAATAGAAAAGTCGCTGCGAAATCGAATGGTCATTTGATTGGATTTAGATTGAATAATCTTCGGATACGTGGTACCGCAGTAACGTCTTCCATTTGTACGATGAGTAATACCATCAAATATTTCGATAAAGTCATGTCGACACTTTTCGTGTTCCTCGAGATCGAGGTCGACTATTACGACTTGCACCAAACTACCCGTCGATACGGCTATCTTCCAGTAACAATCTGCATTCAATGAATAAGGCTCGGGATAATTTGGAGATATAATGTCGCCAGTGACCGTTGTCATCATACCACCGCATCCTAAAGTAAAGCATATAAATTTAAAAATTAAGACAATATAGAACTTCATCAGAGTTTTTTATATGCTCTTATTATAACTTAAAAATATATTTGAATCACTTCGAATCTATAACAGAAATCTTGAATCATTCGGATTATTATTTTAAATCAAGAAATTTTTATAATCCTGAAAATTTTTAATGGGTATGGATATCGAGAGTGTGTGTGAGAGAGAGAGAGAGAGAGAGAGAGAGAGAGAGCGGATATTATAATTTCAATCCATTTCCAATTTTATACATATACCTAAATAACTATATTGTTCCCCAGAATCTCTTGAATGTTTTAGATATTTAAACATTTTTAAAGAAAGATTTTTTAAATCGATTTACACACAAGAGAGTTTTAGATCATTCAAAATTTTCAAGATTGTTAAAGAATTGTTAGTTTTAAATAATATTTAAAACAATTTGAATTTTTATATGATTAAATTACTTGAAAATTTTTAAAAGAAATATTTAAATGTTTATTACTAGCTGCTACCTTCTGTGGTGCTATCCCATTGTATCTCGAAACCTTGGGATGATCTCGAGAAATCCGAGACGAATCTAATGTACATTTGATTGGTTTGACTTGGTATTTCAGTGGGTATTTCTGTGCCACAGAATTTGCCGATTAGTGGTGCGGAATCATATCCACCACTCCTGAAAAAAAAATATAAAGTGACTTTTTGTATGTATAAAAAAGCAACGAGATTATATAATTTTAAATTAATTACCTAATTTCTAAATAATCGAATGCGCAATTCGTATGTTCCTCCAATTCAAAGTGATTAATCGTAAGCATGATTCTGTGTCTGTTTTGCGCTTGAATAATCCAAACGCAATCTTTCTGGTACGGATAATGTTCAGGATAATTTGGCGATCTAATAACGCCATTTGGTTTCAAATAGTGACCGCCGCAGACCTTTGTAACATCTACGAAAATGTATGTGGCGGTAAATCCGTCCCCCGAAACGCTCGAGTCAGTGTGAAAGAGTATAGTAAGTGTACGTTCCTGTGTCATTAAGTCGGGTGGTTTAGTATTACCACAATATCTAAAATATATAATTATCACATATATTATATGTAAAAGAAGAAGCATTTTTTGCAAAGCAAAGTTTGAAATAAAATAAGCGTAGGTAATACGACATATGATAGTAATAATAATATTGCTAACTTTTTTAGATGACAGCAGTAATATTATTTTTTTATTTATAACAGTTAAAAAAATAAAAGAATTATAGGCACTATTCTGACATACGTGGCTATTATATTTTCATTAGGCGTGGTGTAATTTTCATAAATGTTGACATAATCATGGACACAATTAAAATGATGTTCCAAATTAAATGACAACCAAGTGAGATGTATTATGTATCCTGGTGGTGCTTGAATGGTCCAAATACATTCTTCGTTATCGACATAAACTCCATTTTCAACGGGAGATTGAATCACTCCGGTTGATTCTTTCAGCAATCCGCCGCATCCTTAATAAGAATAATAATATCAGCTATTTTCGAAGGCCAATTTTTACGCAAGAAGATTCAATTATTAAAACCACAATATACAAATAATAAATGTATAATATCCAAAGTTATTATTTCAAATTATAGTCTACTTACTGCGATCGATGGTTGTGTAATTAGCTTTAAAGCCTCGACCCTCGATACTAACGTCGGTTGTGAATTTTATGTACATAGAATTATGTGTGGAATAGTAAGGGATATCTGGAATTTGTTCGCCGCATAACGTAGCGAGCTTGTTTGCATTTTCATCATCACCGTCATAAATCTCGATGTAATCGTAATTACAATTCGGTGGTTCTCTACCTTCGATGTCCATGTCTTCTATGGTTAATACAATTCCTTTATTCGACGGTTGTATAATCTCGTAAATACACGTTCTCGAGCTATGATAAGTATCTGGATAGAAGGGTGATTTGAGAATTCCGGTTTCCTCGTGGAATTCGCCGCCGCATAAAATATCGTAGGACAATGTGAAACCTTCCAATTCGTAAGACCAATCGGATTTAAAGATCACGACCAAAGTGTTTGAGCTCGACTTGATCGCTGGCGGCATATCCGATCCACAGTATCTACCAAGTAACTGAGAAAATCTGTTAGGTCCGTCGTAAATCTGGAAGAGTATAAATGAGATTAGTTACGTGCCTTCTCGTGTATAATAAAAAAATAAAAGCCGAAAGATCACCTCGACAAAGTCAAATTGACAACTGGAAGATTCTTCAAGATTAAATCGCAACCATGATGCTCTGATTCGTTCGCCTGCTGGCATTTGTATCTTCCACTCACATTCCATATTTGGTTGATAAGACGACGACGATTGGCCGGGCGAGTTTATCATTCCATTTGCACTTGTATAAATTCCACCGCAACCAGGGACACCTGATATTACAAATTATTTTTGTAAATTAAGGATTTTTCAAATTATCAAATCATTATCAATTATTCTAAAACATTATTAATTAACAAATAATTGCTTCAATGAATACCTTCAATCGCCGAATAATGGATTTGAAAGCCAGTGTCTTGACCAACAGCATCAGAATGAAAATGAAGAGTCGCTTCAAAAGTGGGTGTGATTAGAGGCGGTGGACGAGTGTGATTGCAGAAAAGCCCTAAACGTTCTTCGTCTAAACCTAAAATCTATGTAGTACCAAAAATAAAATCAAAATTGACTTAAGAATATTTTAAGTCATGTGTGCAAAAAAAAATATATAATCTAGCAAACTACTTATGTAATATATACTGGTCGATTTATAGAGTAGCACTAAGAATTTACCTCTACGTAATCGGCATCGCAATGTTCCTCGAGCATCAGCTGACCAAAATGGAATTGAATTCTTTTCGATGGTTCAACGGAAACTCTCCAGAAGCAGTCCCTATTTGGAGGATATCTTCCTGGCGAGCCTGGAGATGCAATAGTACCATAATCACCCTCTAAATTGCCTCCGCAAACAGGATCGATGCTATTCCAATGCAAAGTAAATCCATCGTGAGATATACTGCTGTCCGAGTGGAACCATAAGTAGAGGGTATTATGGGACGAGACGATATTTCCGTTTCCATTAGGCAATGTGTGACCGCAAAATCTATTAATCATTTGGCTACCAGCATTCCTTCCGTCGTGAATCTAAAAATGTGCACGTACGTTTTGAAGAAAATATGCATTACTTTATCTTTTTCTTCTTTATATTTCATATTTCTTTTCAAATTCTTTTTATCTTATAGTTTTTTTTTATATTGTAATTCTTTATAGCAGTACAGTTTAAAAGTGGGATTAAACAGTATATTAAGAGAATTTACACATAGTAAAAATTTTATAGAACGAGAATCAAATCAACAATTGAAACAATTGTTCTACTAGTTTTGTCCAAGAACACAAATATATATACTGTTTAACATATATAGTTTCTAGATTTTACAAAACTTATAACTTTACTACAAAAATAGAAACAAGAAGTTGACAAAACTTTTAGAACTGTCGAATGCGATGTTAGCACATATCACACCTGTAAGAAGTCAAACTTGCAATCCGTGGACTGTTCGAGATTGAAAGCAGTGAAGGTGATGTTCAGAACTTTAGAAGAATCCGTAATTAACACCCATGCACAGCTCAATCCGTGCTGGTAAGTGCTACCATCCATGGGAAATTGAAGTGTTCCTATAGGATTTCGTGACACACCGCCGCATGTTTGTCGCGGTGTCTCGCATCTGTTTCCCGTAAAGCTAGATGTACACTGACACGTTGCTTGTCCATTTAAAACAGTGCAAATACCGTTGTTTCGACACGGATTCGGCGAGCATGGATCGACCGGTATGTTACATATAGTTCCTAAATATTTACAAAAGATAAAGAGAATATGATATATTATGCATAAACGTTCAATATTTTACATTTTACTTAAATAAAATAAAACACTTCTAGCGAGATGATGTAATTATTTTCCGCGACATAATTTTTAAAATGTCATTTCCGACTTCGTATATTTTACATTTAATATTTACAATATTTGCAGTGTGTATTCGTCAAACATGAATTAATCTCGTATCTTACTTATTTGAAGAGATGTAGGAAACAGAGTGTTATAGTTTACGAGCAAGTTTATAAACCTATTTCTCCCTTTCCATCTCTCTTCCCTAATACGTACCTGAATATCCCGGATTGCATGTGCAAGTGAAGCCATTTGCACCGTTTGGCGCACATGTGCCATACACACAGGGGTTGTTAGAGCACGCTGTATTAACTGACACATCAGTTAATTGACAGCCGTTCGGTCCCATTCCGTTACCTATGTAACCCGGCGGACAACGGCATAGCACGTAAGAACTTGAAAGCGATGGATTTTCCCTACATGTAGCGAACTTCCCTACATGTAGCGAACGGATGGCATCCGCCGTTGTTGATGGCGCAACCGCCGACAAAAATGCAACTGACACCGTCACCGCGATATCCTGGAGGACAGGCCCCGCACACCCTAGAACCCTGCAATTAAAAATGTCGTAATAAAATATAGATTGCTACAATAGAGCGCAGAACAATGATAATTTTATATTATGCATGATGTAATATAGAATGTCTACGCAGCATTTACCATCGTGTTCATGCATTGCACGTGAGGCGAGGTACTGCAACCGCCGTTGTTAATCAGACACTCATCAATGTCGGTGCAATAATAGCCATTTCCGCTGTAACCGTGCGGGCAGGGGCCGCAGGCGAATGAACCGCGTGTATTGTGACACGATACCGGTGGATTTACGGAACAGGGTGGATGGTACGCCGCGCATTCATCTACATCCTTGGTGCAAGCTGGGCTCGTACCATCGCTCTCCCATCCCTAAGAACGATAAATAAAAGGCTCAGCGCATGTCGGCTACGCGGATACCGGTTTATGCGCGAGTTCTGCGCGAGATATAGGTTGATTGAAACCAACGTTTAAGATGAAAAATAGAAAAGCGTACTTGATCGCAAATGCATTTATAGCCCAACGAAGAACTACTTTTGGCGACACACACACCATGCTCGCCGCAAAGCGCCTCGGAATTCTCCGTATTGCAAATCGACGTTTTCTGCGTGCAATGAAGGCCGAACCATCCCGGCAAGCAGTCGCACCTAGTATCAAACTGGTATTATATACAGGCACATTTCAGTATATTTAAGAACCGCACCACATTGATGTCAGAGTCAATGAAATTATTTAAAGTAATAGAATTAAAGAAAATAGAAGATTTAAAGTTATTTAAATTATTTACAAAGTATATTATTTTTGATAGAATTTTTTTATGCGAGAAACGCTTATTATAAATTTGTTAAAAAATCTATAATCAGATCAAGATGTTCAAGGTGCGATTTCCGTTTGATATTAATTACTGTAATGGAAAATGTAATTATTAATATTGCACACCGATAAGATCCAGGTAAATTACGACACGTTGCCCCATTTTGACATCCAAGTTCCGTACCAACGAATCTTGCGCATTCGTTGACGTCCGTCATACAATTCGGGCCCTAAAATTATCGTGAATTATCCTCATAAAATTTTAACACGCTCTTGTCACACAGCGAGCTTACATACCTCCCAATTTGATGGGCAATGACATTGATAGGCATCATAGAGATCCTCGCATGTACCGCCGTTTTGACACGGGTTACTTTGGCATTCATTTTCTCGAAGCAGAGTTTGCATAGCTCTCAGTGAATCTTCTAATGCTTTAAACTGAAAATTAGATATATTTGCACATTTTTAATTTAATTATATATAAGTCATCGTTAGTATATAATTTACGATAAATTTGCAATGTATACGTACTCGAATGTTGATACGACGAATGCTGTTTCTCATTCTAGGCGGCAATGGATAAAAACTCTAAAAAAATATCACTTTGTAAAAATAATCTGACACAGTAAATATCATATGTAATTTATTTTTTTTTAAATTTCAATATCTAACTATAATTTTTACCAAAACGCAAAAAATTAAGTTAGTAAGATAAGTAATGATTTCTCTTTTTTAATATTTCCATACGTAAAATAATATTTATGTTTTCGTTAGCGCACTTTGGTATGAAAATATATTGTAAAGCAAAATATGCCACTGCAAGCTGTTGATTCAATATCGCGCATTGTATGTTCTTACCGGATATATTTGTGATCTGTTTCCTGCGCGAATCGTGTCGTTTACGTCGATGCTCCTCTCGAGCAGAGCGACTCTTCTCTGTAAACCTGTGGAGCCTGTCACTATAGTCGTTAACTGGTGAAGAGAGCTCTCCATCTCGGCTAAGTATCCCATCCGCCACCTGTCAATGACCCGCGTCGCATTTTGCGCCTAAAATGGGGTGGAGATCTATGCGTTAATTGATTGTATCTCGATTACGCTGTACATTTAGACGTATGCTCATTACCGCCGATGCTACATGAAGTAAATTGATCTCATTGACATTCACGTAACCGCCTCCTATTATCTTCAGGGTGATGTTTCTGTCCTTCGCGCTGGAGATTACTAAATGTCCATCTTGGGACTCTAGAACAGGTCTGTGAAGAAAGTTCGTATATATTTATATAAAATCGTAAAGAAACGAAGTTTAAGAGCAATAAAATCAAACATAAAATACTTTTATCCGATTATACATATCTTATATAAATCTTATCAAACTTTTTGTGTATCGTTCCGTTGATACATATAATCAAGTCGCTATTTTTATCAATCATATCGATTATATGTAAATTCACGATAATTTTTTTTTACTTGACTCAACATGTGATGAACGTTATACAAATGCAAATGAGAAATTTATAAAAGGAGGATAACAAATTTTCTTATCACAGAACATACCTCTCGTCCATCCATGCCGCGCAGAAACTCAAATGTAATAACAAGAACCATCTCGGTGTAAAAGCCATGCCAGTGGCGGTTTGAAACTCGGTAAACTAAATATTATCCAGTCATACCTTGTTACACTCTCGCGGAACTCCTGTCGAAAAGACAGGTCGTAATAGATTGATCCATGAGGCCGGCATCGTACGCGTCTGTATTTCCTGAGTGGGCGTATTTGGAAGATATATCGGAATCCACCCAATATCGGCTTACGATCGATAAATTATGCTAAGCAAGATAGATTTGTTGTAAAAAACCATCGGAAAATCGTGGCATTTCAAAAACGATTATTCTAGAAGTCAAAACATTTATCGTTTATGCATATTTGTGTGTATTGTAGTAATTATAATACAATACATTTTTATGTATTGTAAATTACACAAGAAATTATGGAAAGAGAATAATAATAATAATATAATAAAAAATCATTAAGTTAACATTTGTTATATATATATAACATTTGTTAAATGTTCTCTTTTCTATAAACTATTTATTTTCAAATTATTTAAAAATTTAACAGTTTGTGTTTTTATACCAAAGAGTTGTCAATCAATTTAGAAAATTTCTATTTCTAAATTTTGTAATCGCATATACCGTCCATTTTTTTGGTATACAATAAAAAAAATTATTAAATAAGATTTGCGAAGACTCAATGCTAAGCCAATGATTCATAATTAACTTCTCGCTCGCGAAATTTGATGCTCGTGTTTTCGATTGTTATTATGAAATTACGAGTATAGTTGATAAAATTATTGTAAAGTTTGAGTTATAAATTCGATTACGTATATTCGTGAAATTGTACGTCAAAATTAACTATTCGCTAAGAGAATTAATAAATCATATTGCGAATACCACGTTCTTTTTTTTCACGCTTTTGCTTTAGACGTTACCGAATGTGTGATTCATATCGGCGAAAAGTCAAAATAATCTTTATTTTTCGTCGGTTTTTATGAGATCTGATTCCGTGATACATCTATCATTTAATAAATAATTAATCTATACTTTAAAATATACTCTCTTTTTCTTTTTTGTATAATTTAATATTCCGCGTACATACAAGATGTCCCAGATCTGCATGTCCAAACAAAAATGAAGGAGTAAATTCAGCACGTCAAAACAAGAAACTTTTCTATTTGGCACTTTGGTCAAAAATAGCGCTTTCCCAAATCAAAATTTAATAAAAATGGGTTATTGCTATTTTTACCAAATTCAGATATTAAAGAAATAAAAATCATTATATAAATGATAAGAATTACGTTTTATAATGTCCAATCAAATCAATTTGTAATTTATTTGTCAAATTTTATACATGAATTAAATTCCTAATTAACTTAAAAAAATATTGATGCAAATATTAAAGATCAATTTACTGTTAAATATTATCGATAAATATAATATAATATTTGAAATTATTTTAATATATAATTTTCGAAGACGAAAATGTTCGTAATACCATTTTCTTCGGTAGATTCAATCCGATCAGAAGATTTACTATATTCAAATATTTGTAAACCAAAATTTGCCCATGGTTGGCAGCCTTTAACAGTATCTTGTCGATGTTTTATGTTATTTATCCAACCATTCTCATCTGAAATCTGGCGCTCTTCGGCGCGTGACTGAAATCGAAATTGGCGTGTCGCCAGCAGATGGCGCCGGATAAGCGAGGAGTATCACAGTCGCCGCTCTCGACCGTTCTCGGCAGTATGGCTTCGGCTGCCGGTACGACCGTTAGTAGTTTTTCGTGGTGTGGTACGTGTTCGTGCGTGAGCGTGCTCTGTTTCGTGAGAGAAAAGGACGAAGGTTTGCGGTGAAGGGACCTATCGAGAAGATCAGCTGGGCGAACGAGAGCCCTGATACGCGACATCCGAATCAGTCATGCGGCGGAATGTCAAGATCGCGTTGCTCTTGTCATGCGCGTGGATGTTCGCCTTTGTTTACTACTATCACACATCCAGGGATAGCAAGGTAAGAAGCATCATTCATTGTCAGTTGACGGTAGTATTTTGGTATCAAAATAATCTAGTAACGTATCAAATAATGCCATTGATATAATATTCGTAACATACGAAAGATACTTTCCGTACTTTCTGTATGAGATATATTGTTTGTATCTTGAAGTTATCTACTGTTCATTTAGTTGTGTTCGTTAATTTTCCATGACATTATTAATGAAAATCATATATTTATTCATATTATAGAGTTTATAATATACAAAAAATATGAGAATCTAATTTTCTTTAGAAGTTTTTTGTCAAAGAGTGAGATTTTGATAGAACGATAAAGCGATTCCGAGACATTCTTGAGTTTGAATTTTAAAATGGCGCCAAGATACGTATCGATAAATATAATATAATATTTGAAATTATTTTAATATATAATTTTCGAAGACGAAAATGTTCGTAATACCATTTTCTTCGGTAGATTCAATCCGATCAGAAGATTTACTATATTCAAATATTTGTAAACCAAAATTTGCCCATGGTTGGCAGCCTTTAACAGTATCTTGTCGATGTTTTATGTTATTTATCCAACCATTCTCATCTGAAATCTGGCGCTCTTCGGCGCGTGACTGAAATCGAAATTGGCGTGTCGCCAGCAGATGGCGCCGGATAAGCGAGGAGTATCACAGTCGCCGCTCTCGACCGTTCTCGGCAGTATGGCTTCGGCTGCCGGTACGACCGTTAGTAGTTTTTCGTGGTGTGGTACGTGTTCGTGCGTGAGCGTGCTCTGTTTCGTGAGAGAAAAGGACGAAGGTTTGCGGTGAAGGGACCTATCGAGAAGATCAGCTGGGCGAACGAGAGCCCTGATACGCGACATCCGAATCAGTCATGCGGCGGAATGTCAAGATCGCGTTGCTCTTGTCATGCGCGTGGATGTTCGCCTTTGTTTACTACTATCACACATCCAGGGATAGCAAGGTAAGAAGCATCATTCATTGTCAGTTGACGGTAGTATTTTGGTATCAAAATAATCTAGTAACGTATCAAATAATGCCATTGATATAATATTCGTAACATACGAAAGATACTTTCCGTACTTTCTGTATGAGATATATTGTTTGTATCTTGAAGTTATCTACTGTTCATTTAGTTGTGTTCGTTAATTTTCCATGACATTATTAATGAAAATCATATATTTATTCATATTATAGAGTTTATAATATACAAAAAATATGAGAATCTAATTTTCTTTAGAAGTTTTTTGTCAAAGAGTGAGATTTTGATAGAACGATAAAGCGATTCCGAGACATTCTTGAGTTTGAATTTTAAAATGGCGCCAAGATACGTTATTTACATTTCTAACACTGTTTAATATAACATACATTTTATATATGTAATATGTATTATATATTAATAAAGCGATTTCTTGAGTTTGAATTTTAAAATGGCGCCAAGATACGTTATTTACATTTCTAACACTGTTTAATATAACATACATTTTATACATTTTATATGTATTATATATTT